TGAACAGCAAGCTTAATGTTCATAAATATAATCAATCTCTTGTTTTCATGTACAGAGTACATCTGGAGAATTTAAAATTCTCTTATATCTTTGCATCCTTATGAGGGTTGAAATGCTGTAATTCGAAAGCCAAGGTGTTTCCAACATGTTGTATTGAATGTATGAGACGTTAAAGAGACACCGACTTACAACCAGTCTCACTGGGGAAATCGATATCAAGAGCGACACTTAAAGGGATGTGTTGAGTTGCTTGTTTTTCTTTCTTCTATGAACTGCGTACGAGTCAACAGCAGACTCCACATGGATTTTTTATAAGTAGAAGAGATAGGAACTCCTGGGATATTGACTAATAAATGGCATGATCGCACAATATATTGCCCTCCGCTCACTTGGATTCGGGGATAATCGCATGTGCAACCCCACCCGGGATATCGATATGCACCTGGTAGTCACCTCCTGTCAGAAGACCTCGCATCAGCCAAGAGGCTTCCTGTTCCTGTTCATAGAGATCCAGAAACAGATGCGGTTGGGGTTGACGAGGTTGCTTAAAAGACAGTGTCAAGATCGAGCAAGCAAATGGATTGCAATTACCGCCGGCTATTCGTGATTACTCAGCACTTTTGTGAGCGTTGCCGAGCATCGCTCTGGGAACATCCATTCGTTATCCCGAGCAACAACAACATTTCCTAAGCAATGCATTGCTGGTTTCATGTGCCGAATATAAGAGGGCATCGATATCTGCAGACTTGACTGTTTTACGTTTTCCTGCTGTCTTGCTGTCTCTGCTGACAACGTATGTTGCTGCGTTCTGTGGGAGGATAACGTTGTTATCATTACTAAAACTAACTACGCGAGAGCAACACAATATGTTGGGGGGCACGTGATAGGGTAGCCGTAGTACCACTAACACGTTCTGGGGTCATGTGATATCCTTGTCTCCACCTCCTGCGCTCACCTCGGGCTACTTCTCTCCATTGACCGGAGTCCGGGAAGATTAAATACGCTGGCGGATACTTAACCGGAATAAATGGACTGCTTATCATCCGCCAATATTCGACGGGATCATCGAATGGCTGACACTGTCATCCTTTGTTACTACCGCCTTCAAGATTGCCGTGTGCGATACAGCTCGAGCCGAACAGAATGTCATCCGATCCATTACCACCTCTGAAAGACATCCGAGTCCTTGAACTGGCTGGTTTAGCTCCAGGTAAGCCACAATTGACAATGCAAATCCAGTAGGCCCAAAAGTTTGGCTATTTACTGATATCCTTGCCAAAGTCCATTATTAACCTAAGGCACAACCAGCTCCTTTTGCCGGCCTCCTCCTAGCCGACTATGGCGCCTCCGTCCTACGCATCGACCGCCCACATCCACAGGCACATTCCAATCACCCGGGCATCCTTCCCCCTGAGACCTCTGACTCTCTAACCCGACACAAAACCTCCATAAGCATTGACCTCAAATCTCCTGCATCGCTCTCCCTTCTTCTCTCCCTAATCTCCCACGCAGATATCCTAATCGACCCATTCCGGCCTGGTGTCCTCGAGAGACTCGGCCTATCGCCCACAGATGTGCTCCTAAAAAGGAACCCGCGTCTCATCGTCGCCCGCATGACAGGCTTCCGCCGTGATGGGAAATACAAGGACATGGCTGGCCATGATATCAACTACATTGCTGTCTCAGGCGTGCTGGCCCTGCTGGGGCGTGCCGGTGAACGGCCCTATCCACCGGGCAACATTGTCGGTGACTTTGCGGGAGGGGGCGCCATGTGTTTCCTCGGTATCTTGCTTGCACTCCTTTCGCGCCATCGTACGGGGAAGGGTCAGGTGGTCGAGGCAAATATGGTAGACGGGTCTGCCTACCTAGCTACATTCCCAAGGTTACTGCAGAAGAGGCCGATGTGGGGTTCCCCGCGCGGTCAAAACGTTCTTGATGGCGGATGTCCCTACTACGACATCTACGAGACGAAGGATGCGGGCAAGTACTTTGCCGTCGGCGCGTTAGAGCCGGAATTTTTTGCGGCGCTGCTGAAAGGATTAAGCTTGAAGTTGGAGGATATCTTGCCGCCAGGCTCTAGTGGATTACGTGAGGATCCTAGCACCTGGCCGTATATGCGTGACGTGTTTACAAGGAGGTTCAAGGAGAGGGCGCGAAGGGAGTGGGAGAGTATCTTTGACGGGACCGATGCATGTGCTACCCCAGTGCTAGAGAATGAAGAATTAGAAGAGGGCGGGTATGAGCAGCGTTTAGCGGTGGGATTGTCAGAGACACCAGGTCTGGGATTTACGAATGAGGAGGGCGGCTGGTCGAGTGATGGATTGAGCCCCAGTAAGGGCGGGGAGATGACGTTGGAGGATTGGTGTGGGTGGGTTAGGGGAAAGGAGTATGAGGTTAAAGACGGGGCGTTGGTGATTGTTGGAAGGTCGAAGTTGTAGAGTTTGGCTTTGACTTTTACAAAGGGATTTCCAGGATAATTTAATGGAAATCAGTGTAAAATTTTAGAGAGGCTATACTCGGTTCTTGTTGTTTGTGGGAATCTAATTTATCCCGTGCCTGCATTCACGGAGAAATTCTTAATTGCAATACAGACATGTAATATGACCTATCCAACATCCTATTTTTTGACCCCGGTGGTTTGCCGTCAACACTACCACATAATACCCTCCGAATGGTCTATATAGCTCGCTCAACATGGAAGGTTGTCTCCGTAATGACAAGACGACATTGTTGCCATGTGATAAGAAACTTCGATCAGGCTTTTAATCGCTGTCTACCCTAGTATGCTCCAATAAACCCACACTCTCATCCAAATCGGTTGGCAGACTGCTGTCAAAACACTCTCGATGCAGCTCTGTTACTTCATCCTGACTCCGAGGCTCAGGATACCTTCATTCAATGTTCCCTAGAGAAGAACATGGAGAAGTAGAGATGGCAGAGGAGAAACAAACAAACCGTTTATCTGACACACTCATCTTCTCTCAGAAAACAATTCCTAAATGTAACACCCTAGCCCATTTTCCCTGTTTGGATGAATTCCCTCCCTTTTCAGCGGCGTCTCCATCAGAGTTGTCCTTAGCCCAAGGTGGTGCAACATTTTTCCCCTCTAATGCGCATGCGCTGGGGACACAGATACATGACAGGGCCAGCCCGATCTGGAGAACGGCCTCCAGCGACTCATTGTACAGTATACTACGAGTCCCCCTCGACAGATGATCCACGGGAAGCCGATGGAGCAGCGTCGTCGCACTGCTTGAATGAATGAAGCTCGGATCGAGAGAGGCGCGGGTCAACCTAGAAACATGCTCACCAACTGGGTGGTTAACATATTTTCACCAAGGGATATAAAGACTGACGAGGACAGAAGACCTCCAAACAGGGCCATGGCGATCCCTGCCGGGGCATCCTTTTTAGGTAGGACTATCTGAATGGCCGTTCGTCAGTTTGCAGAGCGGGAGCTACTGGGTCACTAAAAGGATGCTCTTTAGCAGAATGACATTTCTTTTGAGACTTTGCATGGATTTGCTGCCGGTGCTACTACTCCAACCAGCAATCGTTGACATTCGGTCACTACAAACAGGGGGAAAGAATCCATGTATGCATATGACCTTATAAATACCGTACAGCACAACACCGCAACCGACTCATATTTGCACTCAAATTCTCCCGAATCACGTTCTCAGACCTGGGAGGCGCGCGAAGCATTTCTGAGGCCGCAGAGAAATGCGCCAGAGCCAATGCCACGCCTCGCGTTGGATGATAACATGACTGTTCATGCCGATGAGGTTAAGAAGTATGTCCATCCCGCAACACAGTGACGGGAAGCTATCTATCGGTCTCGCTTCACGACCCCATAGTTCCCACGCCGTTGAGTTTTGGCGGTCATCATCTTTCCAAAACAGTGGGCAATCTCGCTGCCAGGTTGCCTGAGCCAGACATGTCCGGCCAGATGTCTATGGGAATAGATAATGGACCAATTTTAACCGGACGAATCGTTCAATGGCGTTTAGAGAATCACATTCAATTAAAGGTTTGAAGGGAATGTATTGGACAGTTGTAGAATGGGAAAACCAAGGGAGATCAGGATTTTCCTCTCCCCAATTTTGAACCCCTGGTACTAGTGGTACGGAGTACGGAGTAGGTTAAAGCAGAGTTGCCAATTCATCTTGATCCGAGAAAAATGCTTGTTACACCAAACAGGCACCACAAGAAGTGGGCCCAAGCTTTCGACTGTCTCCAATCCATGAGGCTCTCAGCTCAAGGTGGCTGGGCAAAGTGTTGCAGATTGAGGGACAAGAACGACAATACTGATGAATGATGGATGTAATGTTAACGAGAGTCAAAGCTGAAAGGACAGCTAGGGTTATAGTTTTTGTTATGTAAAGCTTCGCATGTTTGTACGAAAGGCACTGGATATCTTCCTAGGATTGCATTGTGCGCCCTCATTCGGCATTCGGGCGTTGAAAGAAGTGATTGAAGAAAAGACAACTGCGTGAGAGTCAACGTTGTCAAAACAAAGTCATGTAACCATGGAGAAGGAGAGGAGAAGACTAGGGGAAGTTTAAATCCATGCAAGGATATCCAGCAGGGATTGTTGTAGCGTCACTTCATTATTATTGTTCGCCACGGTAATCGACAAAATCCTCACTCGGACTGAATATTTATTTATTTACTTCCTTCCACAGTTGGAAAGTCCGCGAACTGCGTTTTGTAGTGTCTTTTGTGCATTTCTCGACCTGTAAATCATGCGTTATCCTCACCCAGACACGGGATACTGTGAGGCCACAGGGTAAAAGAGCTCGATAGCACCAGCGCCATGCTGGTATAAGAGGGGACGAACGAACCAATCCAAACCCTCCAACAAAACCCTTGAAGTGACCCAAAAATTAAGCTTGCAAGGATCATGACAGGCATCCTCCACCCATGTCGAAGCCGTCGAGCCCCATCAATGTCATTGCTTTGGAGAGAGAAAAAAAAAAAAAAAAAAAAAAAGACGTCATTGGGAGGAAATATGATGGATAATGAGAGTGAAAAGAATTTGTTCGTTCCTGTGTCCGGATGCAAAACCCGGGAAATTGTTTGGAATTAAAAAAAAAAAAAATCCTGTTGGTTAGCAGAGGTTAAAGCAAAGAACCAGACCTCTTTGTTTTTTGCTGACGTTTTGTTCATTCGCGAACTGTGGAGCTAGCCCTGCAGCAGCCCTCTGGTCCAGTGGACCTTAGTTTGAGACATCATTTTGTCAACAAGGGGCTCGAAGACGCTGAGAATGATGTTTTTTTTTTTTTTTTTTTTTTTTTTTTTTTTTTGGCCCACCCTCGATACATGGGTTAATCAGATTTGGCGCCAAAAAGGGGTTCCCGCATTCGGCCTATTGCGTTGATACTATGTAGGCTCCAGTGACAACCCTCAATCGTGGCCAAGGAGAAGAGAAGGACACATCCGATGGATGAGATGTTAACCACATTGTTCCCATTGCTGGCCACAGCTCTGGGATCCGAGCTTTCAGGCTTGTGCCGGCTCGGGGAGAATGAGGGAGGCTTTTCATGTTATCCCGGGAGGTTTTCGAAGAGAGACGCTGCGATGATGCGTTGTAAAAAGTGCGAACAAGTAAATGCGTCAACCAACAATGGCATGGACTAAGTCATGCACGCAATAATGTAACCTGGCAATGAGGAAAGAAACCTCGCCTCAGCCACGACTAGGGCTTACCACCAGCCACAGATACCCGACACCAGGTCACTCACCACAGAATCTGAGCGCTAAGATTCCTTGGCCGCGGTACTCCAGCTGTGGCTCAGCCCAGATCACCAGATCTCCACCACCCAATTCGACAAATGTCAACCTTGGACCCGCTTGTCCGCTAAGTCCGCCCGAATCGCCCCTGATCACATTCCCTCCGCTGCTTGTTGCTCGGGCTGGCTGAATCTGCTGCAGCTAAACCTATTTCTACTCCCATCGCTCCCTCCAGCAACTGCCCGAGTCCCCTTCGACAGCCGCTTGTTTGTTTGCACGCATCCACACACCAGAGAGAGCCGCCGTCAGTTTCAGGATGGAGAGATAGAACCACTTTGGAGGAACACATGCATGTTTTGCCGTTCATTGTTGGCTCTGGAGAATTTGAAACTGCTTGCTTGAGTGTTTGGGTGCCCCTCGAACTGTTCTGGTGTGTGTATTCTTTTATATAGCTTCGTGTTTTCCCCAATCGTCTGCAAAACTCATGGGCGTTCCTTGCTGTTGTTTGTGGCGCCGTCTTCCGATCTCTTCCTTTCCTGCTCCGAAAAATATATCGATGCTGACATGATAAGCTGTCCCTTCCAGACCGTAGGGATAGATAGATGGTTGACTGGATCCAGTCGCGAGAACTGTTGGCAGCCTATCAACTCCCCTCCCTGAATCCAGCGACAATTCACGCTTGTTTGCCAGCGGGGGATCAACGCTATCCGCGGAGATTTCAGCTTCGCTGATTCGCATTTTTTCATTTTTACAAAACAATACTCTCTGGAAATTATATGAGATTCCCTTAATCGAGTAATAGTTGATGAGAAAGAAAACGGGGGATTAAAAATGGCTGATTATCGTTCTCCGATGCTGCAAATCCCTCACCGAAAACCCATTAATCATGGAAATGCCGGCCTACAATTCCATTCCTCTGGTTCTCCTGACCAGCAACATCGTCAGCACCAGACAATGAGATCACAATCATATCAAAACCGGCCCCAGGTCGCGTCTTCCTCGTACTACCCAAACCAAATGCATCAACAACAGCAAACACCTCCCTTCCACCACCAACAGCGCAAGCAGTCCCAGCCCACGAATCCTAATTACCCAGCGCGAACCCCCTCGAATGCGACAACATCGACCACTTCTACTGGAGGAAATGGGTCTCAAACTAATCCCCAGGCTGACGTCCGACGGAGCTCCTCGTCACGCTCTGGTCATGCGCCTATTGGCTACGTCGCGCTCATGCGAAAACAAAAAGCCACTGTATGGTGTGACCGTGCCCAGCAAGAAGACCCGCGGGTAGTCGCGCAGAGACGAGCGGCAAAGCAGAGGGCAGCCATAGAAGTGAATGGTGGAGGTGGTCGGAGCGCCACGCTGGTCAGCACCGGCAAAATACGACACAATACCGCCTCGCGCTCCATAAACTATAACACGGGCACCATGGTTGGTGCAGGCGTACCTCTTCGACTAAGCGCTAACGAGATTGGCGACGCCGAAGATGATAAGGATACCGACGGACCCGCCTTCCATCGCCGAACGGGTAGCGGGCGGAGTTCCACAGGCAGCAGCCGCTTTCCTAGTGGTTACCAGAGACCTCAGCAGGGCCGATTTAGCAGCAGTAGTAACAGTAACACGCCGCCAAATATGGACCCTGCAGACCGGATACAGACTGACATTCCTGAAATTGTGGAGACACCCGCTCCTTTGGGACTCGACGAGGAGAGGTCATATTTTGACAGCAAAAAAGACCTCGCTGGCGCTAATGACGGCTCAGCAGCGGCATCGTCGTCACTGGAAGTGGCGAATGAGGACAGGCCGAATTCTGACCGTGCTCCGAGCATGAAGAGTGATGCCAATGACCTGGAAGAAGATTTCGGTGCGCTTACGGAGATGGGCGCGCCAAGCGGAGCCGCTGCTGCAGCAGGCAGAGGGAAAAAACTGGACGATCTTAAACGGAGGGGAAGTGTGGATGATAGATCCACTAGAATGAGCAATGTGAGGCTTTTTGTTGCGAATCCAGACTTGAGTGACTGAGAAGGCAAATGGTGGACAGCGTTGTTTGCTTCTTACTGTCCAGTGTGCCATGCCCATTTCATATTTGGATGGTGGAGACGCGGGGAGCTGGGCAGGTGCATATATCAGTTTTTTTTCTTTCTAGTTTTATTTCTTGCTTTCTTTCTTCCTTTTTGCGAGTGAGTAAGGCTGGCATAATGTGATTTCGTCTCATTCTCTCGCTCTTAATCCATCTTGCCTGAAGTAAGTTTCACGTGGTTTCAATATTCCCTATATACCAGTGGGCATTGTTATTTATTTATTTTGTTTATTTATTTTGCTTCACACTTTTTTTTGCACCTAGCGGCATTTGCAATGAGGAAAGAGTGAAAAATCAATATCCTTTCTCCTTCAGACAAAGGGGAAATGCAACATTTACCCCGAATTTCCCGCAAGCGATGCTCTTTATTTCCACCGGTCCTCAACGGGAGACCCTAACTTTACTTCCACCCGGTATCACTCAGGCACCATCAACGTAGATAAGTTCGGAATTTTGTTTGCGAATTTGTTTTTGCTGTTTCGTCTGACGCCTCCCCATTTCCCACCCTTTTTGATATCCAAGCCACATTGTCCTTTTTTAAGCTGCCCATAGTGGTATTGCGACCTTGTCGTATTCATTGTTTTACATCATTCATTATTATTCACCCTCCTGGGGTTAGAGGAAAAGCTACCCATCTCTAATGATAATGCTTCTGATTTATATCAATATATTAGTGCAAGCGTAATTTTTTGGGCGGGGGTTAAATTATTTCGATCTACATATAGATAGATCTGCTCCTCCTTAGGTACCCTTCTATCCTATGACAGGTCTGAGTAGTGAATGCACCATCAATTTAGACCTTGTTATCGAATAATCAACTGAGCAATGCTTTTTGTATCATTTGCTGTTGAGGTTATAGTTGCTACATATGGCCTCCAGTCGAGTTCGAAGCGATATCACCTGACTGTCGCCAATTTGACGCGAAATCAGCCATCAACGCGTCGTGAATTTCTGGTTCAACTTCAACTCGCTCTGAGCTGCACGCCGATGCGCCACAACTCCCATTTTATTCGATTACTTCCAGTGTCAAATCTTGTCTGAGTCAGAACACCGAGCCATTTCCGTGTCAACACTACATTCACCTTTGCTTCACTGGCCGTCGCTTTGTGAAAGTCAGGCACAGTTACGCTACACATCACTTTGGCAAACGGCCTTATTTAAGTTTGGAGAACGCAAGCGACACCATTTCGACATTTTGACTACCACCATGGGCAGCGAACCGCTGCCGGGCTCTATGAGTTCGCCGGCATCGTCACGGAAGCGGTCGTTTAGTGACGTGGATGGCTTCGTACAAACCGCCAATTCCCAGGATCAAGGTGGAATGGTTGTATCAGAAGCTGTCGTTCAGAACGATGACTTTAAAGGGCCGACTATTACGAATACCCCTAAGATGGAATCTGAAATACATCTGTCCATCGAAAGCGCTGGTGTTCTTCCCCAGCCCATTGTTACGACTAAAACTTTGTCCACGTCAACATCAACCTCTTCTACGTCTGTCGATCCTACTCTACCGCATGCCGATGGCAATGGCTCCTCTGACCCTTCCATATTAACGCCTATCCCCGCGCCTAATCACATTGATCACGTCCATACCCAGAACCAAACCCCTCCTCCCTCACTTGCCACCTCCGTATCTACACCAGGGTTTACCTTAC